CCCTCCGAGTTGGGTGACAGCAGCTACGAGGCCGAGGCAGTGGTCATGGACAGCGCGCTGTTGTACGAGGGCAGCCCTGCCTGCGGCAGCAGGCTCTGACTCACCAGAGGCAGCCGGGAAGTCCAGCCCCCAACCAGGGGAAGCAGAAGGTGGGTTGGCATCCAAACAAACCTCCAAAAACCCTCAGCCAGAACTACAGGTGGGGCGGGGACATTCTACTCTGCCCTGGTGAGGCCACATCTGGAGTGCTGTGTCCAGTTCTGGGCTCCCCAGTTCAAAAAAGACAGGGAAATGCTGGAGAGAGTCCAGCGGAGGGTAACAAAGATGATGAGGGGCCTGGAGCATCTCCCTGGAGAGGAGAGGCTGAGGGCACTGGGTCTGTTCAGCCTGGAGAAGAGCAGACTGAGGGGGGATCTCATCAATGCTTATCAATACCTGAAGGGCGGGTGTCAAGAGGATGGGGCTGGACTCTTTTAAAACATTAATGTTTGTTTTTTGTAACGATCTAGAGTTAATTAAATTAACACCAGAGTATGTGAAAGGAGAGGAAGAATTATACTGAACAGACTGTTTATTCACTTTTGTGCAGAATTAAGTCTCCTTCTCTGGAGATGTTCAAAACCCACCTGGACGCAATCCTGCGCAACCGCTGTAGGTGCCCCTGCTTTGGCAGGGGGTTGGACTGGGGGATCTCCTGAGGTCCCTGCCAGCCCCCATCGTGTGTGTCTGTGTCATTCCACCAGGAGCCAGGCCAAATCCTTCTGGACTGACCCCGGCAGCACCACCTGCTCCGCTCTGAAACCCACTGCTTTGGCACCGAGTGATTCGCTAACACGGACCCAGCCGCTCTGATTCACCCTGAGACGCTGAAATGTTCTTACCCTGTTTTAGGCGAAGACTAAGTGATCAAATCCAGGTAATGACCCGAAGCAGCACCTCTTCAAGTACCAGCTGGTGTTCTTTTTAAAGAAAAGCAACTGAAAAGCATTTGAAGCCCACTGAATACAGAAAAACACCATTTTTCCCGGTTCACCTTCTTGCCTTCCAATGCTACAGACGCTCTTTCACCCCAGCACCTGCCAGGGATGGGGTTTTCTTCCAGGGCAGCCTCCCGCACCCAGGGTGGCGGGGGGGACGGTCCGTCCCTTGGCACAAGCAGCCCCAGGGCCCCCCAGCTCGGCAGCGGCTCTTGGCAACTCGTTGGGTAAAACAAAGCCTTTGTAACCCAAACTTCCCATCTTCCTAGGCAAGGCTATTGCTAAGCAAGGCGGGCACGGGGCACTGCTTAGTCGAGCTCGTGCTTTTGATTCTTCCCTTTACATTCTACCTTGTCTCAAACGAGCTTTGCGTTTACTTTAAATTAACCTGGAGGAGAAGCTTTACCTTCAGGCGATGGTTGGGTGCCTCGTCCCCGCTAACGCAGCTCCACAGCCAGCTGAGACGGGCAAGAAAACCCACCTCAAGCTGCTGCCTTTCAAACTCGGGGGACAGACACCGCTGTTTGCAGCTCCGTGAACGGTCAGCGTCGACATCGACACCGCTGTGCGAAGCTGTTCTGTAACAGCTCCGGGGAGGAGGTAATTCCAATTGCATCACTCAAATTACATCAAAACTCTGCAAGCTGGTACCAAAATTAAAGAAAAACAATTTTCTGAATTTTTAAGAAAGCTTTTTTATTCTCTGACCTCCAGAAAGCTCATTCGTTCCCTGTGCGTGTGTCCTAACCATGCTGCAATTCCTACTGACGTAAATTCCGATGTAGGTTTTAGACTGAGATCAGGTAATCCTACACCAAAGCAAACACCCGAATATTGATTGCGTGCTTCTCCTCACCCTCAGCCCCTCAGTCTGCCTGCTTGGTATTACCCTGGTAACTGAAGTGTTTAATTAAAAATTTGCCAGTAACAGAAGAAAACCAGTGCTAGAACAAAGACCGTTGGGGCTGTATAGCTGCGAGGTGCTACAGCAGCCGGGGTGTGGAGTGGGATGGGAGGAGAGGAGCCATTTGCTGAGCACAGCATTGTCCAACGCTTCCCCGAGGCCGAAGCCCGCAGCTCCAGGAGGACCCAAGCGACCAAACGCTGCCTCCAGGGAGGAGCCGAGCGGTGCCGGGGGCGCGGTGCCGGTGGGATGCAGCGAGGAAGGGGCTGGGGGCTCACCCCGTCCCAGCACGGGGATCACGGGGCTGAGCCAAGCGGAGCTTCCCTCCGGTCACACAAACGCCGTTTTAGCCAGACCCAGCACCGAAAGGCTCCCCCGCAGCGTTTCTGTGTGCATCACATGTGCGCCTAAGTGAATAAACAGTATTTGGGTGT